CCCCAAAACCCCAAAACCCCAAAACCCCAAAACCCCTAGGACTTGTGTGAATATTGAAATAGTATCCTCATCAACTGCTTAGGGCGATTTCATCACTGTGAGAAGGTTTAGTACGAAGTATAGATTGCTAGATTTATAGCTTAAATCCTCCATTGATTGCTTCATCTCTTGTTCACCACCTCTCTCTTTTTCCATCAACCCAGAATCCATATTGAAATTTGTCATTTCTTTCTTCAACAGCTGCTACATCGAACGGAAGTGAGTTCTTTTTCTCTAGCTCATTCTTTTGAGCTTGGGAATCAGACTTTTCGTTGTTCTCTTGGGCTCTGAGCCCTTCAGGTTGGTAGAACTTACCAAAGCCATCTTGTTTTCCATCTTTCCATTGACCAATGTAGATCCTTCCATCAGGCCAGGTGAAAGTTCCAATTCCGTGTTTTAAGTCATTGATATAATCCCCTTCATATTTCATGTTATTTTTCCATGTGAATACTCCTCTGCCATGCATTCTGTTTTGGATCCAGGTTCCTTCATAAACTCTACCATCACCCCACTTATAGTATCCTTGGCCATGCAGATCGTTGTTAGAAAATTGTCCTTGATACTCAGAGCCGTCAATCCATGTAAGTTTTCCAGTACCTTGTTTCATGCCATTGATAAAGTCACCAACGTACTGGATTCCATTAGGCCAGGTCTCTTTGCCTTTCCCATGTTGGAGGTTGTCTTTCCAGTATCCACTATATTCTGCTCCGTCTAGTTGAGAGAATTTACCATATCCATTGGCTTTATTATTGTGAATCTCTCCTTCATAGACATCTCCATTTGAATGAATGACTCTTCCATTAATGCTAGGTCTGCCTTTTCTCCAGTAGCCGTCGTATCGGGTGCCGTCTGGCCAAATCATGGCTCCGCCATCATGGATTATGTCTCCCTCCCATTCACCGCTATATCTACAACCGTTTTCTAGAACTTGCTCTGGCTTTTTCACTGTTTTTATATACTTGAACTTTCCTTGCTTCTGCAGCCTCAGCTTCAGATTGATCGATTTCCTGCTGACACTAAAGAAAGAAGTTATAGCAAGCAGAAAGTTAGAATTTGCACACATATCTAACTGTTGGAGTTATACCGAAAAAGATTATGGTATCTTAATTAGGTGGTGCAGATGCAAGAAGCCTCAATTCAAAACTTTCTCTTCCCACTTGATATATGTAATGGATAAGGTAAATTACAGAGGGCAGAAGTATCAAGAAGGGATCTAATATGTTTGGTTTTTACAAGAAACTTACCCAAACTCCTCAGGTCTCTTAGTCTCTTGAAATCCAAGGCAGATCCCTTTCGTAGGAATTGAGTAATCAGGATCTAAGATCTTCCGTGCTGTACTGTGATCTGAAGATGGTCTGTTTACATTAAAATTATTCTCATCAGCTACTGCTCGCTCTCAAAGACAGTAATTTCCCATATTAAAAAATTAATAAACTATAGATATTGAAGATGATGGGGTTTTGGGGTTTTGGGGTTTTGGGGTTTTGGGG